GTTTTTTATTTCACAATCTTTGTGTATTGACGATGGGGTGAATATCATTTTTAGTTTTACATGTTTTGTATATTAACGATGTATTAAACTAATGTTAAAATTATCTAACACGTTATAAGGGATCAATGTAGTTGAAGATACATTCTAGGTTATTGCTGTATGTTATATAGATTCGGGCTTCAATGTAACGTCTATATGTACGGGTGTATACAACTACCGTTGCTACGTTGTAATTCACCAAAAGTCATTTCGAGGTTTACGCTAGAGATGCATCTTCACAGGATATAAATTTCCTGCCAAAAGAAACAATACCATCTATATGGTGTAAGCTTAATATGTTTTTAACGGTTTATATGTTCATGTATTTTCTTCGATTTTGATGCGTATTCAGTGTCGGATTCGTTTTTCGTATCAGCCTCCTATACCAATTGTTTCATTTGTTATTGTAAATATTTTATCATGTTACTGAAGCTTACGTACACCGTATAAGTTAGATGTCAGATATGTGCGACATCCAAATCAGGTACACTAGATACTCTGTGTTTCTATTTACTCATACACAGGTTAAATCTATTGTTAAATCTATTTCAATTATTTCCATTTAAAATGTAAGTTACAGTTCTGTCAATGTATACAGATTTTATATAATACTGAATACTTGTCTTTGCCAATCATACAACACGTAGATAAAGCTATTTACTACCCCTGGTACCTCCGACACAAATATCGATGCCCTTGTTTATAGCTATTTACTACCCCTTGTAGCTCCGACACAACTATCGGTGCCCTTGATTATAGCTATTTACTACCCCTGGTACCTCCGACACAAATATCGGTGCCCTTGTTTTTAGCTATTTACTACCCCTTATACCTTCGACACAACTATCTGTGCCCTTGTTTATAGCTATTTACTACCCCTTGTAGCTCCGACACAACTATCGGTGCCCTTGATTATAGCTATATACTACCCCTTGTAGCTCCGACACAACTATCTGTGCCCTTGTTTATAGCTATTTACTACCCCTTGTAGCTCCGACACAACTATCGGTGCCCTTGTTTATAGCTATTTACTACCCCTTATACCTCCGACACAACTGTCGGTGCCCTTGTTTATAGCTATTTAAAACGCCTTGTACCTCCGACAAAAAATTCGGTGCCCTTGTTTCGCCATTTCTAATGCACAAGTATATAGTCGCGCCCACCATCAGATGCATGACATTACGAAGTGCTTCGGAAAGGTAAAATAAAATCTATCGATGTTTTACATGGTACTACGTCGCATATATCTGCTTCTCTAATGTTCTAATATAATAAGAACATTCCTGATTTTTACATAATGATGGATGCACGCCTACTATTACAATTCACTTCTGAAATGTCATAATGAACTATTCTAACCTTTTTATTGGGTGAGTTCAAATGTGTCTCTATAGGTGAATGAGTTAGAGAGCTACATCAGTTATCATCTACTTCCTGTTGTGTTGTCTCCTCGTTGACCGGTGTATTTCAGATCAAAGAGTTACATGTTATGATACTGTAGATTATCACATGTTTCTGCACGTTCGTGTTTATCATTACCAGGACGTCAGTCAATACTGTGTGTGGCTTCTCACTGTAGATATTTCTTAGTTTGCCTGTCAATAAATCCCCAACACCAATACACACATCAGTACCTCAGATACATTTAAGATGACAATAATCTGTCACCGAGCAGATATAAACCAGGAACCTATTCATTAAGGTACAATGAACTTTATCCATTGGATTAAATATTACAAAAGTAATACAGATACTAATTTGTATTAACTAGGGTTTAGGGCTTTATTTACAGTTTTTTAGTGTTTTTTTCTATTGGCATCAACAATTTTAACTTATTACTTTCGGAAAACCTAACTCTGACTTTAAACACATGTTGGGGTACACAGATGATTGATATGGTCCTGTTTTCTTCATGACAATAAAACACACTTATTTAGCGAATATACTATTATCACCACAGCTTGTTTATGACAAGTTTGTTATTTGTTAGCCTGGAATCAACTTGTTTCATCAACATCAAACCCAGTGACAAATCATTTCTTTAGAAAATAGTTTTTTTTTCTATATTCATGAGGATCGTATCAGGTTTTTATATCTAGAAATAAATAAGAATAAATATACAGCATTTGATATAACGTCCTATCTAGCTAACTTACAGTAAGCCACTCTAAAGCACTTTACAGTACATAATTATACAATTTAATACAATGAATACAATTAGCATATACATGTGCATTAATCAATTCAATATTGAGGAATTCGCAGGAGCTGCCTTATCAGGCGCTAACCACTTGCCCTATGCCACCTGGCCAGTACCTCCCTATGTGTGTATGTCTGTTGTGTGTTGGAGATGTATTGTGTTCTGTTTGTTGTGGGACTGTACTTCCACCGGTATCATTTATAGTGTCACCTCACTTGAATGCTACAGCACAGATACCGTGAACATGTTATATTCCACCTTAGTTATTGGAGTTGTGTGGGCAGGAGAAAAACACTTTCTTTGAATATTCCATGCGAACGACGACTTCGGAGATCGAACCCCGGCCGCCTGCTTGGAAAGCTAAGTTGGTTACCACTCTACCTATCCGCCCATAATAATCGATATAGTTTCAATTTATGTTCAGTAAAAGGATCTTTGGGAAAAGATAAACCTTTGTCATACTAATGAGTCTTATTCTGCATGTCGATTCTATTATATGCCGCACGACAGAAGTTATGTAATAGTGTGATGTAAGATTAGTTCGCATAACAGGAATGCATTTAGCCATATTATTTCAGGCTGTTGAGACAGTAAGAACATGCAGGTCTTATCTGGAAATATACTCCCTTACATAACCGATATTCCCATTTCCAATTTGTTTAGAATGTTAAAATCTTAACAAAGGACTTTCTGCAATCAATTAGTCTGTAGGAATCGTCATATTTGCACAGATGTTCATTTTATCATATCAGTATATAGTGATTGTCACACAAATGCAGTTTTTTCTTTCTTTTTTTGTCACTGCCATGTTTCATTATCATTTAATTATCTGTCAGGATATTTATGTAGAAACTTTCTGCAACAAAAGGGTTGGTTATTGTTAATTGATGGGGTCCGATCATGACATTACACAATGTGAACTCGGTTATTGCACAGACATACTATGAGAAACTTTGTTTTATTGAAAAGGAAAATGGTTACCACATAAAGTGTCTCTTTATGCATCCAAATGCTACAATGCTTCACAACAGCACCTAGTAACATCCAACGCCAAAACAGTTAAAAGGGAAATAACCCCGAGCAAAGTATGATTTTGATTTTGTTTGCTAATAACGTATGCAAAGAGCCCCTTCTTAAACGTCTGTATAATAAGTACAACACCTATTCCACTTATGCTAATGATGATGATTGTATTTATTTTAATAGATGCCAAGCGCTAACTACGTCAAAGCAACTGACGTCTGGTTGTAAATTAGTTTTTGTCGCTAGTTTGAAAAAAAGAAAAGAAAATGGGTTCTTTTATCCTGACTTAAACTTACAATACTGCGAGATCGATGAAAAATGTGAGTATTTCGCAAACAAACAAAAATATTTGAAATTTTAAGGATACCGAATACAGTAAATAAACAAACAAGAATACACCACGTTTCTTATGGAAAATACGACATTTCCATATTGATGGGGTGATGCGTTTCTTCCAACTGTAATCGTATTGTGCACTATGTATATATTGCATGTTTCTAGGAAGTATGAACACACACGTGATTGCACCGATGACTTCACGTAATATATGCAGTTTGTCAATAATGAGTAACATGGCACCATACGTCTGTTCGTCCTTCCTGTACTCATCGATGATGCGAGGAGCCAAATAGGTGGAAATCCAAAACTGCGTGGCGAAAACATTTGTTTTTTGTAATCAAATACCACGTAAGTGTGATCCTTGATCGACCTTTTTTATAGCTTATTTGCATTCTTATTCCGGTTATAATGCAATGACTCTGATATAAACAGTAAGCGCTTACCCGATATCTTTTCTAATTATCCTTTTCTTGATAGTAACATCCCCCTCACCTATTTGATTCATCGATGTTGTTATCAACAGTTCCGTGATCGATTTCGAATGCTGACGGACAAACTTACTAAATATGTTTCGAGTAAATCGGAGTAATGAAGAATAGGAGAAAGTTTAATGGTCATCATGTTCCGATCGAAGATTTCTGGTTCCTAATGCGAAACTAAGGTCGATGTTTAACTATGTGCATAAGTGATGTATCCATGAGTTACCGTCGTCCTCACTCAGATTCACATTACGAGATAATGGTAACGTCGAAGAAGTAGCAGACGCTTCCGAAACATCTTGTCTCATTTTTATTGTACATTCCAATTGTCTCTTCCGTTACTTCGCTTGGTTTTCCCTGTAGTTTCATCTTTTTGAATTCATATTACTGTTTTTAAAAATTTTGTAGTGTTCTTTGCAAATTTTGCCGCCGAATTTAATAACCTTCTACAAGTACATTTGTGTAGCCGTGTCTGATATCGTGACGCAAGAGCAAAGAAAAGATTGATGTGAGGAATAGTAAAAACCATGATAAGGACTCTTGTATCATAATTCGTCAATAATTCGGATCCTTAACCAAAACGTGTAAACTTGTTTACAGATTGAGTCTGTTTTATCAAACCTCTTTAAAGATTGAGTCTCACACTTAGCCTATAATTTGTAAATAATTGGGTTTCTTGAACTAAAATTTGTCAACGATTGAGTCTCCTTGTCAACGATCGACACATTAGACAAAACGTGTCAAAGATTGAGATCTTAGTTGAGACCCTGTCAACGTTAACTAATGAATCTCTCAGACAAAAATGAGAAAACCTTTGGTTCTCTTATGTTTTTAACCTTGGTAAGGTTGTTCTGTTTTCTACCTCGATGAAACCAGTATTTAGTCAAAAATCATCAGAAACATTGAGGAATTGTTGCAAATATGGAAATTTTAATCCTTAGAATTATGTAGCTATACCAGATATCATCAATACATGTGGTGACAGTCCATAAGGAAGTAACACTTTACATGGACAAATCTGTAAATCTGTTTCAGTTTACATATCACATTGATTAAGTAACAGATGAAACAGAAGTAGGTATGACACTCTGATACCTAAGTATCGTTGGCTCTGTCTACACTGTACACTAACAGCTAGTCTTACCCTACCTATGTACGTTAAGTGGAAAGTGAAGACAAGTTGTATAATATACAGCAAACTGCGTCTGCAACATGGTACACTTATTTATAGAAATAAGTTAATATTTCAAATAATATCGGCAAAAAAAACAAGCCAATATAATTCTTGTGATATGTAACACATACGATAATATTTCGTTTGATATAGTAAGTATTATTCCCTTTTGGCATTTTCAAATATCACTTTGTCAATTATAACACTTTACATGAAAACGTTGCTTTAGTAAAAGAATTTCACATTCATTTCGAATGCTAATCGCATGTTTATATTGCAATTAAAATGCTAAATGATCGCAACTGTTTGAATCGAGCTATACTGCAAATGTGGGGCATTTCGTGACTTTACGAAAAAATCAAATGCAGAAAATAAATTACAAAAAAGTATTAGGTAATGTTCAGTCATTTACATGATTATGACAGTTATGTCAAAAAACCTATCACAAAAGGGTTCTGTCACCTTGAATGACCCAGATACTTGAACGTTTTTGCATTTATCAACATGGTTTATGTATCGGGTTCTTGCAGAATTCTGTTTAAATTTCATGTTGTTTTGGAGGTTTAACATTACATTTATATTACATAATTATTATATAGAAAATAATATATATATCTATTAGTCAATGCATTGTAGGATATAAATGCAGCATTAATATTTCAATACTTCCGTTCAAAAAGGTCCATATGTTCCTTTGCTTTCATTCGAAGAGACACAATACTTGAATTCCTTGTATCCACTTCCGGTATTTTACCGGAAGTACAGTTGAAAACACCTGACAAAGCATGAAGTGTTGAGCTCATAGCACAGTTCGAGTTGAATACTGGTGATGAAATGAATGTCGGGTAGGTTGATAGGGATGACGATGATGATGTCATAGGTGACACGGAATGAGCAGGGGCGGTGTTGTTTGTGATCGGCGACGTCATCCAGGGGTCAAGCGGAAGTGACGTCCCAAACCCACATCCAGATTTTGCAGTTAGAGCTGACATTGGGTAGGTGTCGTTTATTTTGATAGCGGAGCTTTCAAGCTTTTCCTGCCTTCGCCACTTTGCTCTGCGATTTTGAAACCAAACCTGCAATAAGAACATACAAATATAATTTATGCATTGAAGTTCACAAATAAATGTCTGTTTTCATTATTGCATAAAAGATATGTTTTCATTGGAGTTTATGGACGATTTGTTGATTTAAATGATGCGGACGGGTGGTTTACATTTTAATACACGTTCTTGAATAAATATAAATTTACTTTGTTAACAATAATGCTGGTGGTGGCGATTGGAATGCCGAAAGAGGATGTCTTTGTTTTCAGAAAATAGCAGGGGTACTTTACACATCCTGCTTTTTTTGAGTTTTTAAAATGATTTAGTTCATTGGTTTGCGTAGGCCCATAACTATCATTTTTAGTTTATCCTGGCTATGAAGTAGCTAACAATGTCTGGGGATATGGCCAGCGCAACATTGGAAGCAAACCTCTGATCGACAAATATATTTTAGCATTTAAGTTCTGGAAACACAACCCTTTGAATCAATGAACACGCCATGCGCAGACGACGATATTATGTTATATATTTGACAACAACACCTGTCGCGATTCTGATTGGTCAGATCGACTACCTACGTGGTGTAACCTCAAATTAATTTCATTTCATCATATTTTATTGAGTAAACAATAGGATTGAACATAAGATATCTCTTTAACTTTAACAACTCTTTAACAATGATCGATTTTATTGACCATTCCACATTTAAAGCTTACCACTGTATGTTTGTAAGGAAATAGAAATTTCTATTGATTATTGAAAGTTCAGATCATATACTGATCCAATCATTCCTCCAAATGATACTGACAGCTTCGCTCTGTTATGAATAAATACAATAGTTATCTGTTCATGTACAATTATTCATTGTATTCATTTTAATTAACAAATGATAGCAACCAAATCAAAATTAAGATACAATATCCAAATTCGACAGGCTATAATTAGACTGGAGATAACAAGCATTATCAAAATAATTGCCAATAAAAACCTTCCTAATTCAGACGCATTTCACACTTTGTCAAGAGCAGACGTATCCACAATGCCAAACTCGCTTCTGTCGTTCAATAGGGCATTGAACAGTAAAATCAGGTTTAGCCTGAAGATGTCAACGTTAAAAAAGTGCGGGTTGTCCGTATAATTACTGGCTAGTAAAATGTGTGTTCATGGGTCAAATCACGGAACTGTTAGTGTGGCGTTGACTTGAGGGCCGAGAAAAAGTCGTCAGGTGTCTTGACGCCAATCTCAATGGCTGCTTGTTTAGCATAAATACTTGAGTAACAATGAGATAATGAAGCTTTAAGCATCCCAAAGAGAAGACGGGGTGTGTTGACCTGCGGGTGTACCATTGTCGTTCCATCAATAGTCGCGAGATCACTCCTTAGGTGTGGCTATAGAGAAACTCACTCGAGAGCAATTACCGACTCTCACACAGAAAAAGTCTTTCTTTCTGTGTTTAGTCTAGCATATAATTGATAGTCTCCGACAAGGTATCGGCTTGTTGCCTTCTCTGCCTTTCCAATAGCGATTGACTTGTCTGGATTAGGTTAGCAGCTGCCATTTTTCAAAAGATGCACTGTTTATGAAGTTAGCGGACTTGAAGCTAAGTCAATTACAGATCATCCTGGTTTGCCTTTGTCATTAAGGGCCGTTAACATTTATCCAATATCTCTATTCCCTTTCACTAAAAGCTCATTATAGTTGACAAAAGGGGCAAGTAATGATATTAGAGGAAGATTATTGGCCACGATAACCAGACATGACGAAACCCATTGAGTCCCACCCCATTTGTTAACAGTGTTAATGAGCTTATGATATTTGCTTAATAGAGAGACTAGCTAAACTCGAGGCGAAAGACATGGTGCTTAAGGCTGATATGATGTCCTTTGACAGATACGAGGCAGCGCCATGTGCCAGGAAAATCCGTCAGATTTAACATCTTACATTCATCGTTTTTCCAAACCATTTAGCCATTTCCCATGATCCTTATTGTATAACATGTAACTGAGTAGGTTATTGGAATATACTATTGGTAATCTAATGGAGAATATGCTGACACTGAAATGCTGAATAACTTATACTTCAGTTTCAATAACAATTGATTGGTGACGTCACTGTTTACTTTAGATATGTCAATGTTTTAAAAAGAGTGATCTCACCATATCTTGTTACTTTACAGTAAGCTATTATAGGAAACAAAGTGAATAGAAAATAATGATATTTTTATGTTTTCATTTTAAAAAAGTTAGCGATATTATAGTTTTCTATCTTAAATTCTTTTCCTAGTTTTTACTCTTTGCACATACCTGTACTCTGACTTCCGGTAGATTTATTTTCATTGCTAGTTCCTCTCTGCTGTAAACATCCGGGTAATGTGACTTCTCGAACGCCCTCTCGAGCTCGTGGAGCTGGTAAGTGGTAAAGGTAGTACGGTTCCTGCGCGATTTTTTCCTCTGTTCCTCGCTGTATTCTAGTTGTTTTTGTCCGTCAATATTCTTCATATTTTCCTTTCGAGATTTACTGTTCTTATCTATAACCAAAACAAAATAATAATAAAGCTTTAGGTAATATTTGTTGATACGGAAAGTATTACGCTGACTGGAAAATAAAGTACAATAAGTTAAAAGCTAAGATAGACCAGGAATGCTTTAACAATCGTTTGTTCCAGGAAAAGGTTGATTGATGTGATACTATTTCCCTGTTTTTTAGTGACCCTTCTGATTTTGAATTATTTTTTAAAGGATTTTGAGATAACGGGTGTAGTTCATAAAAGAAACTCGTTACTGTTCCATAAATAGCACTGAGAAAAATACAAGTGACAAAACCGCTTGTCTAGTACGGTAATAAATACAATGATTCAATTGATAAAACAGCACTTCTCCCTATACTTATTGTAAAGTAAGCCGGCAAACCTTTTTCGTTGATTGAATATTTGCAGCAAATTTGTAGCCACACAATTGATAATGTAGTTTATACAGGGCTTCGTATATGATCAAATGCAATACGAGCATTAACATGAATTTTTGTTTTTTTAAAAGACACGTGTTACTAAATACATTTTGAACTTATTAACAAGATTGGTCGTTTGCATCTTCATTCGTTATGAACCAATTATGAATCAAAATGCTGTCAACAGGCATATAACCATACGATAGCAATATTAATCTAAGCATTGAATTCGATTCACCAATCACTTCGTGGACCCATTGAATCAGCTGTTATCGTCCTTACTATTGGCCATGTCCACTGGCCATCAATAAATCTACTATAGAAAGGTAATTTTATTACATTTTCTGGTTTGTTATTGATACTTTCAATTCCGACATATGGAAAGAAGTTATACAGGAAATCAGAATTTGTTGCTGGCTGTCTGTTTTAACTTCCATCGATTTTTTTTATATATGTACAGTATATACGTGTATTTTTTCATGAATCCTGTACAATCTTGTCCTCTTTTAATCGATCCAAATTAATTAATGATTGCACTTCATGGATCCTGACGCTGAAAAAAGGAGCTCTGTTCTATATGTGTTTGTAGTCCGCTAGGATCCTATTTTGGGTTTTTCGCACGACTATCCTGTTATACACGGTAATTCGATTCTAGGTTTGCTTAGTGTCTAATATTATATCATTAACTGTGATTTAAGAATCAATAATATAGATGTTCATGAAATTCTAGATAGTCACGTAGTGTCGCATTAAATACAACACATCTCGAACAAAAACACGAAGTGACGAACTAGGCAATGGCTAGAGAAAACCATGTTTTCTTAAATACGTTTCCTCTTCAGAGATTTATGAATTTCGCCATGGAGTTGTCCAGCTAACTCATCAGGCGCTTTCAAAAACCAAATCGTTTTTTAAACTTAATATGAAATAGAATCTTATTTCTGATCCGATGTGCCCTCAGTCATTTAGAGTAAATATACAATACAGAAGCAAAAGCTATTTAAAATTCCAACACGATATCTGAAATCATGTAACAGATCAGTGTTAAAGCTTACAGTATATGCCTGCTCTTTGCAACAATATCATTTACGTTTTCGAGTAGAAATATCTATAAATGAAACATCTTAGTGTAATAGTATTAACGTTGGATAATGAATGACAAAATAACAAACCTTCGTGTTCCAGAAACTTTGTTTCCCGAAACATAACAAAATAGAACCAAAATTAAGAGAAAAAATGAAATATGTATTTGAGTTTTCAATATGCACCACAACCCAAACGCCATATTTAAAGAACGTGAATAAAATCAATAGTTTTCGTTTTTTGAGGCTTACAACATAACTAAACGACTACCACAAAAGTATGGTTGTCATTGTATAACATTAAAATACCATGTAGCTTCTCATACGTGATACGTTGTCGGTTTGGTCGAGGAAGGCTGGAGGTGCTGTGTGATTTAAGTCTGTCAGATTGCCTGGGGTGATGATGGGGTAGTTTGAGTGTCATTTAGGTGAGGGCCTGCCCTGTAATGGGACAAGTACTACGACAATGACAACACTAGGCTTGTGTGAATTAAATCTATCATCTGACACCCTCGCTGAATTAGCGTGGTCATGTTGAGCCCAATACACGGTTTAACAATAAAAAAGCAAATTGGGGCTCCGTCCTTTTTTTCAGTCTTCTTTGCCACCCTGAATCAGTCCCTCAGGGCATAGCAGACTTCCAATCAAATTATAATTCATAAAATTACTAGGTTTTACAAAATCACTCAAGTGTCAAATACGTGTATGTACCATGTGAGTAATTCTGACTTAATTCAATTATAGAATTGTACACTAATGACATATCCGGACTCAAATAACATTCCCAGACATTGTTGGTATTGACATGCCCTACGTTGTTGTTAATAGGACCGTCAAATTCCACTTTTAATCCGCTCTTAAACAGCGAGCGGCGCATCAATCTTTGTATATAAAAAGAGCGGTACCCTCCCCTGTCTCTCAGGCAAAACAAGACACACAAAAAAGGACACTTCAGAGAGCCGCCTACCCTCAAAGCTAACACAGAATCGTTTAAGTGCAGAACAAACGTCTCCAACCAGATAGAGAAATCAAATTTTCTATGTACTTAGTGAATTTTAATCATTGAGATAGTTAAATGTGAAGTTTGTGGAGGCCTTTTATGGCCTGTTAACTATGTCCACCAGCCACACGACGACAGTAGTTCAGATATAAAGCGTACGGACAGATATACAATCGATTTTAATAATAGACATGACGGGTTTTCCTCTTTGATCATTGTATTCTGGCTAGTAGCATATTCATAGGGTTTAATATTTTGCTATAGAGATTTCTATCAAGGGACATAATGTGTATTTCGACAGCAAAAATAACAGAAAGAGGGAAGATCCCATGATGTTAGATGAACTCATTGTATGTGTGCTGAAGATAAATTCTAAGTCATCTCGTTTCTAAAACGTTTCATGTTTTATTTCAATATCTAAAAACGTTTATAGGGTTGACAAGACCTTTCCCTTAAGGTGCTGTAAGTCTTGCAGGAAATGTAACACTTCTAGAGCACCTGGTTTGTTTTTATGGGCGTTTGTGGGGTTTTCCTTTGATTCCGGGGTCTTAAAAGCAAGCTAATTTGAACTTTGTGTTTTCCATCAATTATCTATTTGATTTATTAATTTGTTTATTGTTGTTTCTTTGTCTGTTTATCTGTTGAGTGGAATAAAATGTTTTTAAGATCATATGAAGATGGTGTCACTTATAATCAGGTCGTTCAAGCGCTACTTCTAAGTGTCATCTTGCTGAAATCTCCCAACTCCGACACGGTAGCATGGTACTCCTTTTGGTTACATTACTCTGACAAAGGGCTTACCAGCGGTGCCTATGGCGACGCCTCCGTAAAGAAAGATAGAGGGAACAGCAGATCAATTTTGTGTTTTTCAATTTCTCTGAACTAGACGACGTAGAAAAAGGCCATAAGATTTTTGCATACGGCTATGCAATGAGATAAGACAGGTTTAAATGAATATGTTTAAATAATAATGTGTTATTCATAATCATTTAGTCGATCCTCATTTACAGAGAGATGATACCAAAAACATTTGGCAACACAGTTTCTTTTTTAAAACATCGACTACTTCATATGATATAGACCTGATTTGTTTATATTAACTTTTTACATAAACATTTTTTGGCACGAATTTGGTACAGAAAATTGCAATTTACTAATACAGAACGTTATCTATGCTTGAACATTTAGTTGTGACCAGATCCAATTAGAGAGTATTTAACGTCATAACAAGTCTATGTATCAGCTTATATCAGCATTGAATGAATACATGGCTTTACATAAGAATACTGTTTTTCCCATCCCTGAATACTTAGTGTTACGGCTACTTCAATGGCCGTATCAACACTGTATTACATATCTACTTTCAAAGCCATATTTACCTGGTATTAATATGTTACAAATGTATAATGACATGACACATGTAAATATATATATCATTTTGACCAGTTTATGGCATTGCAACTACCAAAGTCATATGACATTCATATCAGCTATGAATCCCATGACTCACGTATAGACGACGTCATTATTTCAACGTCAAAATTGTAATGTTTTATGCCACTAACCCTCCCTTGTAGATTGCTAATTTGTTCAATAATAAAAACGGTACATCCACTTATTTGAACACATTAGTGCAAGATAAATTGTTTCATTTTGTCTATACGATGCATTCTTTTTCCTGATGAACATATGAACACATTTTGTATCCGCTTTCGAACGAACAAATGGCAAAAGATCCCTTATTAGAATATTCAATTTTATTAACCCTAAGGTGAATTAGTGTAAAAAATTAAAAGAATATATTTCAGCAGAAACATGTTTCAGTTTATAATATATATTTGGATTATTAACATTATAAAGGCTATTAAAAACTACCAGTTAGTTACTTATGCGTTATTTTATATTTCATTTAAGGATTCTTGTGTCACTTCAAGCAAAGCACTTAAATATTTCGATGTGGGTTTTCGTTTATTTAGTAACCTCCCCTTTAATTCTCTTTAGAGCCATTGCTTTTCTGTTTTTACCAGATAGCTCAAACCTTTAGAGCGATAATTTAACCATTTGAAGTCCAGGGTTAGTATAAAGGTCTTGTCATGTAGAATGTATACGCTTAGGACACTTATGTCGACTAATTTCTTATTAATTAGATTTATTTTATTTTATTAAGAAAATCCGGCAGAGTATGGTTTTCTAATCGGAAATTAAGAATAACTTTCTAGTGCATAGTTACAGTTTTTGATAGTGATACTATCCTTACTATCCTTACTATCCTTACTTACTATCCTTACTATCCTTACTATCTATCCTTACTATCCTTACTTACTATCCTTACTATCCTTACTTACTATCCTTACTATCCTTACTATCCTTACTATCTATCCTTACTATCCTTACTATCCTTACTATCTAGATCTGCACATTCTTGCAAAATATACTGCAGATATTTATATAAAACCCATCCACCATCTATCATCTTTATATGATCTCTCATACATTCATGTATACATCTATCACATAATTGTATATCCATCACATTCTCATAAAAGAAGGATTCAAAATATTTTAAAATACCCACACATTTGAATAAATGCATCACGATTTTATTTCAAATTCACATACAGATCATTACATATTAATAAATAAAACTTTAAAAAATCTATAACACATTAACGAAAACATCCAATCACATAGTGGTGTAGAAATCATGCTTTAAGAAATACAGGTAATTGTTGAGTATCTGAAATAGTTTTAGTAACGTGTGCTGGTCCGTACATAGAACGATCATGTCTTATTATGAAGCTAGTGTTTACGACAATGGCAAACACTGAACTCTACATATGTTCTTACAATGACTAATCTGTAACTCTATACAGAAGCTTTTTACGAATGTTGTGATAAATAGAATCAGCAAACTCGATACGACAGTTCATCTCAAAACCTAAATGTTTAACATTGTAAACATAATCACGAAATAACACTGATTATATGTAAACTCTGCATGAAATTACTAGTAACTAGTTATTATGCTTGATTTTTTCTAATAAGTGATATTATTAAAATCAACTAGAAATGGTTCACATATACAAGTGCGTTATAGTAATTGGTTTACGTAATTCATTATGTCTTTCATTGAAAATGATATAACACAATTTTTCAAGTACAGATGCATCTTCCATTTCATAATTATGACATTGTTACAGTTGTTTTACATTATCTTGTATGCCCTATAAAATATAGTATGTGATGTATCATATTGCGTCGTACAATATGTCTACTATTTTTTAATTGTAGGCTTGATAATTCATATCAATATCATATTGACTGGATCCTTAACGCTTGTTTGATTAAGATATTATTTAAAAGTTTATTTTGCATTTGGTTCTGATTAAACGTCAAATACACATTGTATCGTTTAACAAAAATGTCTTTGTTTGAAAGATGTTTGATTTGAAATTGCAATAAAATATAGCAAACTCCTTGCTCCAAAATATCGTACAATTCATTTTTTAAAGCAAACAATAAAACAGTTATGAGTTTGTTGTAATGATGATATGATCAGATAGGAAAGGTAGAATCAGTTTTTAAAATTCATAAATTGTAACCATCACAAAAGGTCTTAATTGTATAGTATGTCATATATTGTATAGTATGTCATATATTGTATTGTATGGTATATAATAAATATTGCATGCTGTGTATTATATTGTGGATACAGGAGAACACATTTTCCCTGGAATTGAGCTATTTGATTCACCATACGGCCTTCTATTATGTTTATTGAAGAGGTTAAAGAGGAAGTAAACTCTTAACAACTTTACTCCTCTTAAGAGGGGAATGGCCAGAAGACGATGCCATTGTTTTTGCTATTGTTTTCAATATCTTAATTCTACAAAAGAACTAATCATGTATATACGTATAATTTTAAATGCCGTAAAAGGAACGTCAATGATACGATCTAATGAAACATCATAACGTTACATACTTTGGATGGGTATATACGGATAAGGATGAAGACCTACATAAACAACACTATTGACAATATAAGTTAATCAAAAGATCCACTTCTGTAAATAGACAGAGGAACAGGAAAACATGGAACATTTCTAATATTTTACAACAAAATTTGAATAAATTTAATTCAAATAAACCGATATTGTAAACCAATTATCTCCTCAGCTAGTGTAGCCGAGGAAAGTAAATTACATTGGGGGAAAATGGAGCACGATAATATTGATAATTGGTCTTAAAAATAATTTTTAAACGATTCTCTCAAATCACGCCAGATGTTGCTTGTGTTATTTGTCTCCCACTCTTCCGTAAACTATTTTTCAGCATTAGGTATTGACTACAAAAGCGATATTCGTATTAATGATGTACTTAACATGTATTTTATTGACATGTTATCTTACATCACATCAACTTACAATAATTGTGTTCCATATTTTTGTGTTTCATTATCGTGGGTTAGCCAAAAGGTCAGCTGCGATAAAAGAAGTTCTACAAATTGATTTTTCCACTTGAAATAACGTAATGCATTCATACGAGTTGAGCTGTATCGTCTCCTATGTGCGGCGTAACGACCATACAACGTTTGTGTTGACTCACTTCTGTTCAATATTAGTATTGTATCCTTTTAACCATTTCAACTTGTCAGTCAATTTAAACTGATACAGATTTCAGAGGAAATCAAATTAAATGTAGTGTTAAAAAATTTCATTGTAGAAGTAACGCATGGATTAAGTATGATAATATCATAAGTATCTTTCAAACTTATCTCTGAATGATAACAATTTCGTGCTTTAAATATTTGTTCAGTACACATAGATAACATGCAATTACTGAAGACAGTCAACGTGCTCTTTTATACTATGCTTGTATCAAATTGTCTTTTATGTAAATATGTCATTACCGTTATATATTTTCATTCGCTTTGTAAAACATTTGTTTGTACACATACAGAACATTTTTCTTTGCTGAAACAGTTGGCTGTCTAACCCCACAAAGTCCATAGGGTCAAGATGTAACAGTAATATGAACACTGCTTCGTCAGACGTTTTTAATTTTGAGTTCGAAATGTGTTTTCTTTTACTCTTCAGTATTATCTGGTAGGTTCTTTTTTACATCAACTCTATGATTGGTCACATGTATCATCGTATGAAAATATTCCACAAGCATAAATAATGTTCAAAAAGATTTAAAGAAAAAAATAAACCTGGTTCGAAAAATATAATCTACAGACAAATATAGTTGTAGTTGGCTGGATTCCTAGGCGGAGTATGAACAATACACAGGAATTAAGCAAATTTCATCAATGTTAAGTTGTCTTAATAACATTATTAAATTTATCAATAATTATCCATTACGTTACAATGTCATTAAGTATAAATATAAGACATATAGAGGATGGTAGTAAACGTATACAGCAGACAGAAGTAAAACATCGTCAGTACAAAAAGACCAAATCTTAACTCTAAGATATCAATACAACAGGAGCCTACTTAAACCTTGATCATTTGTTTAAGTGACTCCGACTTAAATGACTTTAGTGAGTGAGTCATATTGTTTTTGTTGACTTATCTTTGATTTGCCTGATTGAGTGACTTTAATATCTTTATTTACTTACCTGACTTTGGTTATTTGAATGAATTGTTTTGTATTTATTGATGTGTTATATCGAATATTTCAATGACAGTAACTTCTAAATATTGTTAATTAAAACATATTAGAATGGAATTATTTTTTGATTTGATTTTAACCAGCACATGCGACAAAGAGTACTAGGCAGGAGAGTGAACTTACCTGTGAGTTTGAAGGCTCTACCGGAAGTGTCCTTTCTGTGGTGAATGTGATGCTGAAGTCTGTCTCTGTGCTCTTCCTCTGTGGGGAAATCATGAGAACACATATCCGGTTCCCCTCTTATTCCAAGTAGGGCGTCGATACTGTGGAATCCAGTGGATCCAGCAGCTGAAACCGACACGTGCATTGCCGGAAGTAACTGATTCATAATTTGCCAAAACCTTCTGATCTTCTTCCTCGAAAAATCTTGCAGTAAATTTCCTTGGCTGGCTGCGGTGGCTGGTGATGTGATTCACAATACCGTTTGTCCTTGTACGCGTTCGTATAAATACACTTACGTGCTCACAGGCAATTTGCCACCATTCTCTTATTTGATGGCGACCAATTAATTTCCCTTGACCCTTTAATTGGTGGTATGGGTAGCGCTCACTTGTGTATAGTTACATTAAACAAAGTAATTGACAGCTTTGGAAGCAGCGCGTGTCTGAAAAGATTACAAGTCCCTTATGTTTTTGGCAGGCAAGAGTTAATCCTTGAGAAAAGTGTTATTTGTACAATTTGATTTCATCTCGTCTTATGGGAGCTAATGTACACAAATTCAATATTGCTCTAGTCGGACCTATTACATGGTTGTAAAGCAGTGCTGAGTTTATTGATGCTTTGTGTGCACGGTAATAAGATGGGCGGGTGGACGCTTCCTAATGAACATCTCCGTCCCGTCGCTGCTCCAATCACAGGCTCGCACTGCATTCAAGGCACGGCGAGAGAAAACAAATTGAAAGATTAGCGACAATGGATTCGTCACCCAAACTTTTATATCAAACATGCCAGAGAATCGTAATGACAGGTGTCGGGGGAATCATTGATGAGTACGTACCAGAGAAGGGGCAGGCGCCTATGGCATGGGCTCTTAGTTGACATAGGCTAATAGACACCACACGCCAAATTCAGGACACAAAAGACACAGGTTAAATATGATTTGCAAACCAAATAGGTTTTTATTCTCCAACATAACAGGTAGACAGCCGTATAAGGACTCCCATGTTACAAAAAACTCAAGCGACATTTAATAGAATACTAACACTGGTATATAAAAATTTCAAAAGAGCAATCAACAAATATTTTATTTCGTAAGTAATAGTTTAAGAAAGCCCCTGTTAGGCGCCTACGAGATTGGCTTGCTCTTTCATGTTGCTGCCATGCTCACTGACAGTGCCTTGCCGTGCAATCAGGTATCTATTTGCCTTTTAAATCTCAAATCACTGCAGTACTTTAGGTCATCTGGTAGGATTGTGTTAAACATGGCATACTCAGCAGATTCAAACGCGTAATCAAAATTTCAAGTAGGGTTATACCATACTAGTTTAATAAATTTCGTTATTTTCAACATGTATTTTGTCTTTTTGTAATCAGCTTGAATCTAAACATTTGTTGTTTATTTTTATAAATACAACAGTTCCGCCTTATTAAAGAAATCACAAATTTACGCATCAATATGGTTAAGCTTGTCTCCAACTGAACAACTAGTACCATGCATTGTATTCATACATTTTCAATACTATGCCTAATTTTGCTCTTTTTGGCACCAATATGCAATAGACAATTTTGATAGAAATCAGTGTAACTATTGTAGACGTTCCTATAAGGAGGATCATTCCATTGAATTTGATAGCGAACATCAAAATGTCTCCTTTTTTAATTTGAAGCTTTGAAAAAGTTCTGATAGATTTATTTGATTATGTTGGTACACTCACGTTAAAATTAAAGGGTTGATGTAACAAAGTGTATTATAATTCATACAGGGTATTATAGGCTTAGATTGTCACGATTAAAATGTCGCCAAACAATCAATAAAGTTAGATGAGTAAGAATACTATTAATTTTTGAAATATTTGTTTTCAATTGAAAATGTCGAGAATTGTCCTTAATAACTCAATTAATATCTTAAAGAGAATAACAAATATGGGCAAACCGTATTTGTAACTGCTGAACGATTTTATTATCACAGAGGATTCTTATTTGAAACATTTCTATGATGCCCCTTTGTGTTGAATGAGGACGGCGATTTCTGTTAATAATAAAAGTATCACGTCAACTAAAATTAATTAATTTCCAACTAAACTGTATATTAAGACCATTTTATGTTTCAACGTAACTTAGGCCAGTTTTTGCATCAAAGGGATGTTCATGATTTTTTAATATAATATCAGTAGAGGCCAAAGTTATCAAAAGAGTTTTTTGAAGGTAAAGCCAATATAATGATATCTACGACAACATTGTCGAATGAGCTATATTTACAATGCAAAAGTAAAACTAATTCAAAACGCCACTGTTAACGTAACTATTATCACCGCGCTATTTATACAGAAATATCAACGTCAGCAGAGTGCATTGTCACTAGCAACAGAATGCACTTACTTCAAAGTTCATGATTCCCAAGGATGAAGAGCTGTGTTTGTAACGTAACCATACATCACATCAAGAAAAGTGACAATTCTTGTTCATGTTTGTAGAGCCCAGTTTTTTTCATTTGATCGTATGTGTATGAGTAACAATGGCATGTTACAAATGAAGAATATTCTAGTCCTGATTTACCGTTGGTTACAGTATGTTACATCATATATAGCGCAACAACATGCCAACCGGTCACATTTCGGTACCTTATTGGAATTTTGCATTGAACATTTTTGAGAGTTATATAAACCTATTGATTGTGTCATAAGATGTTAATCTTCAATCATCGTATTCTTTAACTTTTTTTACTTAAGTTGATTATTTTTACCTATTTATTTATTTTCTTTGTTTCGTATTGCGGTTTGATATATTTTCGTATATTTTTGTTTTGGTAACAAAGCAATTTATCTATCTAGCTATGGCTAGTAGGTAGATAAAGAAAAACAAACAAACACAAATAAAAGTCAAACTGAAAAAGGAGGTTTGCGTGTCATGAATTATATAACCATGTAAGGAATAGTAGAGAAAGGGCACAGATAACCATGTAAGGAATAGTAGAGAAAGGGCACAGATAACCATGTAAGGAATAGTAGAGAAAGGGCACAGATAACCATGTAAGGAATAGTAGAGAAAGGGCACAGATAACCATGTAAGGAATAGTAGAGAAAGGGCACAGATAACCATGTAAGGAATAGTAGAGAAAGGGCACAGATAACCATGTAAGGAATAGTAGAGAAAGGGCACAGATAACCATGTAAGGAATAGTAGAGAAAGGGCACAGATAACCAGTGATTACCTCTCTGACGACAAGGAGTTGGTACAGACAGAATAATCGGTTTATATCCCTCAAGAGGCAACGGTCAATGGCTTTGTTTTGTTTTATTCTCAAAGTTTATTTTAACCGATGAAGTTGATGTTGTATTTTGTGTATCTTAGTTTTTAGCATACCTTCCTTTCCATACCAAGTAATTTCACTTACTCAAAAGGAATTCAAAAAATGCAATTTCTGTGTAATTTTAAAAGACAAGAACAAACTTGAAATAAAAGTCAGACTTGAATGTGAACTATGTATAACATCTTTACACCAGTGTTGTTCGATATGTGTCTTTGTTTACAAATGAATCATTCTCTTGCTGTGTTGATGCTAAATATATTTAAAATTAAAGTGCGTATCGAGTTAATGTCAACATTTGATACGTAATGGCGTAAACAAAACCTGTTTCGGGGATTCAATTAGTATTGGAATGTTGGCACCGATAACTGAATTAAAAATTGGCCTTTCGCTCCTTTGACAAATATATAAACACAAATAGACTCATTTGTTGATTATCAATATTTAGGCGTTCCAGCTTATGTAATACGGCACTAAATCAAGTTATAAACGTGTGACACTCAACAGAGACACACTGCTGTCTCATTTCCCTAACTAAGGTGACGTTAAGTATCTTATATTACTGTCTATGTTGCTGTTGTTTCTCGGATTTCTTTTTAAATTCCTGACATGTACGGTAGTGAGTATAATGTGTACCACTCTCTTTTCCCTTAAAACCTCACATTTACACAAAATGTGTTTCCGGTAGCAGAAAAAATAATAATTCAATACAATCGTCATACATACGGGTTATTAGTCTATTTTGTTGTTAACACAAAGAAGAAAAATCGACACCAAACACCAAAACTGGAGGCAATACGTCACAAAAAAACAATTAAAGCCGAATAAACACCAAACACCAAAACTGAAAGCAATACGTCACAAAAAACAATTAAAGCCGAATAAACACCAAACACCAAAACTGGAGGCAGTACGTCACAAAAAAACAATTAAACCCGAATAAACACCAAACACCAAAACTGGAGGCAATACGTCACAAAAAAACAATTAAAGCCGAATAAACACCAAACACCAAAACTGAAAGCAATTGTCACAAAAACAATTAAAGCCGAATAAACACCAAACACCAAAACTGGAGGCAATACGTCACAAAAAAAACACCAATTAAAGCCGAATAAACACCAAACACCAAAACTGGAGGCAATACGTCACAAAAAATAATTAAAGCCGAAAAAACACCAAACACCAAAACTGGAGGCATGCCATACGTCACAAAAAACAATTAAAGCCGAATAAACACCAAACACCAAAACTGGAAGCAATACGTCACAAAAAACAATTAAAGCCGAATAAACACCAAACACCAAAACTGGAAGCAATACGTCACAAAAAACAATTAAAGCCGAATAAACACCAAACACCAAAACTGGAAGCAATACGTCACAAAAAACAATTAAAGCCGAATAAACACCAAACACCAAAACTGGAAGCAATACGTCACAAAAAACAATTAAAGCCGAATAAACACCAAACACCAAAACTGGAAGCAATACGTCACAAAAAACAATTAAAGCCGAATAAACACCAAACACCAAAACTGGAGGCAATACGTCACAAAAAACAATTAAAGCCGAATAAACACCAAACAAAAACCCAGAAAGAAAGATATCACAAAACAACAACAAAAGCTGAGGGAACACATCATACCGAAATAAAAGACATCATAAGACAACGAAAGGAACCGAACGATGCCTTTATATGTTATACAACAAGAGCCGTGATCTGGTAGAGTAACAGGTTTCCATCGTACAATGCTTTCGCTATGCTGTCTCCTCTAAATAAAATGTTACAAAATATTTCAAAAACGATGTACAGGTCTTCATCAAGGCAGAATATGCAACCTCTTAGCATATATTGACGTTCTGAAATGAAATAACTTACATGAAAGCCAACATGATGCATCACTAGAGATAATTATGAAAATGTGTATGAGTATTCCAAAGCATCAACACTTACTTTCAATATCTTTGATAAGATATTTGTTTGTTTACCATGGTCCTGCTTAATACGCATAGTAATTGGCGATCTGAATTTCAAAATACAATGGGCAAAACGAAAACATACTGAATTGGATTCACTTTAAGAGTTTGTCAAATATATCAGTTTATCATTCAATAAAAAGTAGTATATTTAAATCCAAACTGGAAACAAAACACAAGAGTATATTTGTAATCCCAATGCTAAAGCTACATACAAAGAATTGCTTTATATGTATGTGACTGTGTCTGCAGACAAAACATCTTATAACTTAATTCTTGTCTGCAAACACTCATACTGTCAGAGGCTCGCTAAATTAAAAAATTCGCAGATTGG